GTAGTTTTTGCAGTTAAAATGTAAATACCTTAAAATGACGAAACTTAGCAACAAAATAAAACCAGTTTGTTTGTGGAGGCGTGAATTTGAGACCCTGGTTTCTATTCAGTGTTGGACTGACAGCCAAGAGTTGAATATATGTTTCAGATTAACAATGGCTGAATGATTTATTGATTGATTTACTGATCTCCAGTTTCCTGTGTAAATTTCACACTTACATGAAAGACAGGATTAACATCAATGATTTTGCCACACAAGTATGCCCCCACCCCCCTCCCCACCCCCCACCCCTCACCCCCATTGTCTCCAATTCAATCTGTCACATGGACACATATGACCTTCCTCTAACCTGTTGACCCAATCAGGGACATAAGGAATCCTGTTGACTGTAATGTATGTAAAAGTGCCAATTCTCTTCTATAAGTCAATTGTGTCAAAGAGGAATGGAGGAAAGATGGACTGAGAGTGAAGGAGAGGAGAAGAGGCGGATCAAGGGGCCAATGCAAGTCAAGGCTGACTCATAGGGATCGCAGGGCGGAGGTTTGACTGCTGCCTTGTTTCTGGTTGTTTTTGGGTTTTGTGTTGCTCTTTTTTTACTGGCCCTGGGGAAGCTCCTCCACCACACACACGCACACATACAAACATTACCTACACATGCACACATGCAGGCTCTGGGGACGCCTCCTGAGGCAGGTGCAGAGAAATGGGCCGGGAAAGGCGTCCATTCGTTCGGAGCTGAATTATTCAACCTGTGATTAATTATAATTTGGCCCCACAAAGGCAGGGGCTGGGGGAATTCCTCTGCCGGTCTGGACTGCAACTTATTGTGTTTTTCCTTCCCGTGCAGGCCGATGTCGGGGTGGAGCAGAGACCTAAACGGGGTACTGGATGCCTGCACGTCTAATGTGGACCTTCGCTGCTGGAGCTGTTGCATAACATGACAGGAAGGAGTGCACTCTGCAGACTGGAGCAGGGCAACAAGAGTTTAACACACATTTCAGGGTAAAGAAAGCCAATGTGGCCAGAGATTGCTTGGTGGTCCCTGGCTTTGCAACTACATTGTTTGTCTGAGTGAACGAAAGGCCGCCCAAAAGAGAAAAAGACAGAGAGAAGCAGGAATAAACTGCTCTACTTTCGCTCAAGGTTGCTCCCAAAATTGCTACGGGTTGTCCAAATAATAATACGTAATCGTGGTTTGTTGTTTCATATCACGCACATTAATTCCTTTGTTAACCCGACCCAGTGTATAAATATCAGTGAAAGATATCCCTCTACAAGGTGTATTAGTTGAAATTAGATTGTTTTACAGTCATCACATATTAACACTTTTATTACTTAACCTTTGGATTAACAGTATTTACCTTTCACCTGAAACCTATGGCGTGGTGCCAATCTGAACAAGTGTCTGTTTGTGGGTTAGCTTCACTGTTGCAGTATTTTCAAATTCTTTTAATTGAACACACTTGGTCTTTTTCAAGTTATTTGCCAGAAAAGCATCAAGCGTAGTCAAAATGTTGAAGTGATACCAGATTCCCAGTGGGGTCCAAAAGACTGCGTGAGACCACTTTTATGATGTTTTATTGTAATGCTGTTAATTACATTTTGATTAATCAAGTTTTTTTCCCCCCATTGATCGACACATTGTCAAAATTATAAAAAATAACAACAAACTGAAGTAATTCAAGGGAGTGTACGTGTATCTTTCAGATCTGGTTTCTGCCTTGTCCTTGCACTAGCAGCCTGCGCAGTATCTTTCACTGATCTCTGTGAGCAGTAAACTCACCTGATAAGTCAGTATGCCATAGGATATTAAAAGTTAAAGATCACAAGCACATCCTGCCTTCAGGCCTAGCTGACAAAAACCATAAATGTGTCTTACTTTAAGGATCTAGCAGCTAATCATAGATGCTATTATACGAGCTGGTCACATTCGATGATATGGAACGACCAGTGTGCCACCTCCCTACAGCTGTTTTGTAATTGGAGTTGGAGGTGTAAGAGTGTCAGGGAAAGTGGGTTACCCTCAGGTCCCTGGTGTTTCAGTGTTGGAATGACTAATGATAAGCAATTCCCATTTAGCTAACAAGAAATCAGCTGAAGATCTCATAAGGACTGTGCCTTTGTGTGAGATGTAAAATGTACAGTAAGAGCTGTGCTCCAACTGTAGGGCGATCTCTCTCTGAGCAGAACAGTGAGTATAAGTTGGCACTGGAGACCGCTGCTTAAGCCTCCGCTGTGATAACCAAGAACGCCCTTGATTAACTCATCGCTCCTGGTTCCACATCCAACCTGTTCATTTCTGACTGTTTAATCATCAGAATAACCAAAGGTCATGTGTCCTTTGGCTGATTCAATAAAGTAAACCTCAGAGCTGTTTGTGTAATAGATTTGTACTTTGACCAGAATGCAACAATGACTACTTCTCAGTTTGAATTAAATAATGATGAATAAAAAGGTGCATCAACTATGACCTCATTATCATCACACAAACACCGTACAGTATAAATAAAAATCAATAAGATTTCCAGAAAACCAACTTTATTTAAAGGGCTATTCCTCATACCAGTTTGACAGTACTTGCACCAGTGATGAATATCATAAACATTTCTCAAGCAGTTCAACGCGTCTGCCCCTTTAACATTAAGCATGGGTCAAGAGTTAGTGAAAAGGTGTTTTCCTGTGTCCCATGACCTGTATAGACGACCTCCATCAAGTTCAGGGTCTGAGCCACGTGTGTAATATGGGTTGTCTGATGAAGAGGTTTGACGGGACCAGTGAGTAGAAAACAATGTGACGCTCTCCCTGACCCTTGTTACATTCCCATATGACCTGCGGAAGGATCTCGATGCAGGGATATCATGGGTCATCAGGTTTGGTGTGAAAGGGTCCAACACAGAATGCGCCTGTGTTGGAAAACACTGTCCAGGAATAAATTGTCACCAAGATAATTTTAATATGATACTGAATGAAATTCGGTGTTATGAGAAAGTAAACCAAGAAGTTATATTACACAACAAGCTGTCCCAATCTACAAAAATAATGGATGAGGCTAATGGTGCCATAGAAAGCACCACATGCAGCTCTCCACAATGTAAAGCATCCTACAATATGAGGCAGAGTGGTTTTACTCCATTGAGTCTGTTAGTTTCTATATCAGCACACCTTAGAGGATATTATTGCAAGGTTTATGATACCATTAGCACGGACAAAAAGGGAAATTAGTAAATAAATAATCAGTATTTCTCATAATGATAATAAATCAATGAACAATGAGCAGTTGTTGCTATGGCTACAAACTGTTTAATGTGTGCTTTATTTAAAACGGTAGTTAGACTGACCTGAAAGGTGTGTTCAGACTGAGGTGAGTTGAGGCCTAATCAATTTAAAATGTGTGTGCTGTCTGTGTGTGAGGCTAAGCTGTGGTACAAACACAGCACATGAACACTTTGCACTCATACAGATGGTTCGTATTGGTTGCTTGCTATTTTAACATCTATACAGTCGGGAACATCTGTCCGACTGTATCTGGGGTGCAGACACCTACCCTTAGACAAGAACACTGACATTGGAAATTCAAAAAAATGTTGCCACTGGACGTAAATCGTAAAGTTTTGGACTAGTCCAATATTAGAGTTTTCACAGTTGCTAACACACACTTCTTAACACTGAGTTCATTTTTCCAAACGCTTCACACAGTCAGCACAACAGCATTCAGTCTGGACTCAACTGTGGATCACCTTTCATTGCTTTGAACAAAATTTAATGAACTGTTTTCTCACTCACACTCAAACACCACCAAAACGCTATGTAGTTTACACTCCATTTTGCACGTTAACATTACATCCCAAACATAACCCAATTTCACTCTAAATTACACCAACATTTGAGACATTCGGCTCCATTTACAAATAAAAATAAACAAATAAAAATACTTTCATTCCTTGATGACCTCTAGGAATACTAGAGGTGAAGAAAGGGGGCAGGTGACGCTGAATACACAGCATTTTGTAATGAGTAGTTTATATCCCATCCCGGGATGGTGTCCCTTTTCCTTCCTCATTACTCTCCATTTCTCACCCGTATCCTTCCCCTCATGGAGGTGGAAAGTTTATGACCACCAGCCACGTGATCAGATGCCCCTCTTGGATGCAATGTAATCTAAGTCCTAGGATACTGGGCTTAAAATTCCCTTGAATAACAACAGATGGCCAAAATTTTCTTTATATTCAGTCTGAAATCCCCTTCAGATGTGTCCTTTTTTGACACCACCAATCACTGAAGTATTTTCTCTGGCGATGCTATACTAAGAAATAATAATTTGTTCACTGAAACAGCAACATATAAGACTTTTCCTGAGCTCATAAGATGCAGTAGTTATTTTGTGAACAAAAAAACCCACTTGTTATGTCAAGAACACATCACAATGTGGACACAGTAATTCCTCCCATTGGTAACAGTATGTAGTATATTCAAAATGACAGTGGCGTCCTCCTTAGTGTGAGTGAAAATCAAACTGGAGTCAAACTCTTGGAACGAAAAAAACAAAACACATAACAACTATTACGAGACTCCCAAAAGAAGCTGACCCGAAGAACAGAGCCTGCAACCGGCATGCCTTTCCCCGTCTTCCCCCTTTCTCTCCTCATGTTTCTGAGGTCAGTAAACAAGAAGTGTGTGTTTCCCTTTAAGGAGCCCCCTCCTTTTGCACAGCGGAGGGAGGAGGAGCAGGCCTGCGGAACAGCGGCTGAGGAGGGAAAAAAAAAATCCAACAGAGGACGGTTTCAAGTCCCCCCAATTAGAAACTGTGCCTGATTTGTGGCCAATGTTGGAGATGTAAAAAAAAAAAAAAAAAAAAAAAAAAAAAGAAGAAGAGAAAGAGAGGGAGGGAGAGGAGAAGAGAGGAGGAGGAGGAGGGGGGAGGAGGGAGGGGAAGGGGGGAGAGGGGAGGGAAGGGGAGGGGAGGGGGGGAGGAAAAACACTAAAGGGGTAGCTATGGAGATGGAGCGTTTTCCTGGCTGCTTTCTTTGACAGGTGTTGAGTGGGGCAAAAGTCTTAAAACAGAATCCAGCATGTACGCCAAAGGTAAAGGAGCTGTCGTCCCTTCCGATAGCCAAGCGAGAGAAAAGTAAGTGAATTCCGCGCTATATGTGAGAGTTTACCTGCTTATCATGCAGGCGAGGGGGGCAGAGGAGGGGAGTCAACTTTCTAAACTAGGTACTGTAATTTAAAAGGAGTGTACTGTACTAAAGTGCGCTCCTCCGTGCGGTTTCCCCCTCCCCTCCGACCACCTTAGAGGTGCGTCTCTTAAACTTTTTTATTTATTTTTTTTAAATTTTACCTCTTGTTTGCACTTTTGCTTTCTGCACAGGATATTTACTAATATCGTGTACGTGTGCAAAGCGCACACACCTCTTTTGTAACTCGCAACGGTTTGGAGAGCAACAATGTATTTTTTATTGTGTGGTCCTCTGTAGTAAACTGCACGTTTCTGCTGCTGCATCTAAAGTAGGAGAAGCGCATTTTCGTTTCATTTCGGGTGAAACATGTTTCTGTGGGGTGCTCGTCCCTGTGCGGGCAGGCTGCTCGGTGGTCTCGTGTACATTTTAGGACGTGAAGCTGCTGGATGGTTGAATTATCTTGTGGTTGTAGACATAGAAACGTTCAGCTTTGTTGCTCATGTTTTTGAGGCGCTTTGCCGGGCGCAGTCAAACCTAGCGATGAAGGGAAAAGTTTTGTCCCATTCGGCAGTCATGCAGCGGTGGTAAACTTTTTAGCATCCACTCACACGAAGGAGAGTCATGCTGCCACGGACATTGAGCTGTAATCATGACTAAAGGAGACTTTTATCGTTAGACCGGTTGCTGAATGTAGGGTCGCATGTAATTATTATGGTTTTTGTGTCTGGAAATGTTGCAAAAAAAAAAAAAAAAAAAAATCAAAAAAAAAAATCACTGAGGTGTGCTTTAAAATACGATGCAGCTAAATGCATTGTTTGCTAAATATTGTGTTGGCGTTTAATGTTGTTTATTTACGTATAAACAACGGTTGTCGGTTCATGCACTGTCGCTTTTTAATTAAACGTAGAAAGCCAATGTAACTTTTAAATGTCACTGTCCCTTATATACTGAAAGCTGCACTGCTTCTCATGCCTGCTCTTCCTTTGCTATCCAGAATATTTCTGTGTGGGACCATTCAAAGAGTTGGACCCCCTTTGCATCCCAGCACTTCAGATCAGTAGTCTTTTATCATCATTAGCTATTTTTAAGCATGAAACAGTCTGAGGTTAGAGGAGTGAGGAGGAATCCCTGCTGAGATACAATTGTAATCTAAAAACACTGTCAAGTCCTGGGAGGCTGTGCTGTTACACAGCACCTCATACATCTGTAATAGAAACAAAATTTCTTTGGAGACTCTCTTGTATTTTTTGATGCATTGCCGCGTCACATTCAATTGATTAAGCTTTCTAGAGATGTGGCTTGCTCATGTGCTTAGTGTAAGCTTCCTCGAATACGACTTTGTACATGTCTGGTGCCAAGAGTGTTTAATTTCACTCTGAATTCACATCAGTTTATTGGAAAATTGAGCAGCTCTCTGTGTGTTTGTGTCTGCATTGAGGAGTGAATCCTAAATGAAAACAGTCCCATGTGGTTTTATGAACAGCAGGCAGAGTGACCTTTGAACCAGCATAGGATGCTTTAATATTGCATATGAACCATGAGCAGACGCCAGGCTGCTTTTACACCTGTTCGTGTGCCTTAGCTTCATCACTCTGTGTACAATACATTGAAATCAATGGCTTATTTAAATGCTGTGTTTTTGGACAGTTTTTAGTTGCACTTGCTTGTTCAGGGAGTGTGGATTATGCTCCATGTGTTATTGGGAATGAAATCAGTGCAGAGGCAGCATGTATTTCAAATGATGGTGTAGGAGGAGGATTAATAAATTAACTCATACGAAATGCAAGTCTTTTGAGAACTGGAAATGATGAATGCTTCTGTGGTGAGGCTGCTTGTGAATAACAAGATTCTTGAATTTGTTTCTTTTAAGTGTTGTTTGCATTTATTCCCACCCCTCATTTATCAGAAGCGCCACAGTAAATATGTTATTTAAACCTGTGTATAGGCTATATTTAGATCAGTCTGTGTGTCTGTATCTGTGTGTGTCACAGGCCTATAGTCATTGTCCAGACATAATGGGCCACGCGTGCCCTCTCCCCTCACCTGTCTTGTCACCCTAACCTGCCCCGCAGGGCCAACACATGTTTCCTTGTAAACGTGGAGTTCACAACAGCTGCCTCAATGCATCACTGAATTAGCTCATATTCATATTTACATATTCATTTGGCTCTTTACATATTCAGATATTGAAAAGAGGGCGCCCCGGATGGACTCGTATCGGATTAAAGCAGACTCGGTTATTACAGCTGCAGCTCTTGCTTAGAGGATTGATAATCAAGTCATATACTTACTTAATTGAATAAACTATAAGTTGATAATACAACTTTTCTATCTCTCTCCTGAAAGTAAGGTTGGAATCAGTTCTGGTTCAAAATACAAGAGAAAATTAAAAATATTTACATCACTGTACATCAGCTGTAATCAAATATTTTAGCGATTATTCTTCGTGCGTTCCACAGAATGCTCTTACTCCAGTAATGACAGTTTGAGCTTATTATTCTTTTGATTTAGACTAAGTTGCACTATAATGCAGTTAGATTTGATACGTACAACTTGTTGAAGGAAGAGTACAAACTAGAGAAAAATGTAACTTGTCCTTGGCAGTGTTTTCCCTGTACAGTTGAAAACAGTCAGACAATACACGGGTGTTGGCACCACATGTAAATTGCACTGGACCATTTGGTGCAACAAGGACGAAGTTGCAAAGGGAAATATTTATTGATGAATGTATTTTAATTTTTATGAACCGCCTTCTTCTGTAGTCCCTGGCAGGACTTCTGCTGCTGTGAGTATTATTTGACAGTGTTGTCTCATTAAATCTTAAAGTGTTTCACATACAGGACGTACAGTACATAAACCGTATTTCAAAAAGAGAGGGCCCGCAGAATGTATTTTTTAACACCGCACTTGGTTTTGTTAGCAGTCTGGTGTCGTTTTGAGTGACGGCCAGCTGCTGAGGCTTTTCAGGGAAACTGTGTATTAACCTCAGTCTGGAAGTCTTGGAAAAGCCAAAAGAAACAGTATCTTTATAATTATTTTTACAACACCGTCTCTATTAACTCCAAGGAAAGAGTGAATTTTTAAAAAGATCTGACAGCAGTAGCTTACTGTATGTGCAGCAAAGTTGTCAGTGCTGCGGGTGATCTCCTACATAACACCATAGGAAGTGATGCTTCGTTTGTTTCAGGTAGGACTTGTGAGTTTCGCTACAGCTGGTGCCTTGATGCGTGTTACCTGGTGTGTACAGGTGTGCAGCGGTAGACACTAAAAGGTTTAAAAGAAAAAGCAAATGCTCCTCTATAGTATAGCAGGTCCTCCTATGTTTAATAGTAAACACTTCATTTAGCAGCCACCTGAATAGTGTAGAGTAAAATGCTCCAAGATACCAACTCAAGTGTGCATTTCAGTGTGTTTACAGCACTGCACAAGGCCGTTTGTGTATTGTGTGTGTGTGTGTGTGTGTGGTTTTTTTACTTCATGTAAAGCCTTGAAACCAAGGCTTGAATCCAACCTGTTTGTTCAGAAATACAACATAAAACAGTCACACGTACAGTTCACACTTATGTGGATTCCTCCACACAGCCAAGGCCTCGCCATACAAGTAGAGTTGAGCTGCCTGGTCTCGCCGTCTTGAGATCACATGTATCCATCATGAGGGGGGGAGTGAAGTGTTTTCTTTGCACATCCTTGAGAAGCGTGATTGTGATTAGACATTTTGTAAGAAGAGATGCTAATAATAATGATAAAGATAAAGATAAAGGAAGAACTAGTGTCCTTGTGACCAGAGAAATTAATTACTCTACACTATTTCTTTTCCCAGTGTTTCCCAGTTTTTATTTAATTTAATTTGATCAGGAGTAACACAGCAGCTTCAATATTAATGTCACCTTATTATTTAGTAACTGGAACCCCTTTGAAATGTGCACTGATGAATCCGGCATCTTAATTAAAGGTGCCATTCACAGAAATATTTCATAGTGTGATCAAACATCTCATTTTTAAAAGCCCGTCCTTAGTTTTCTAAAGTATTCTGCTCCCTGCGTTTGTTTTCTAATACTCTCTGTTTGTTGACAGACATTTTTTGTGAGATTTCGAGTGTTTCAGGATTTGTTTGGGGAAAGAACTTCAAGTGTAAAGTTAATCAGTTTGTTTTGAACATGGGGTTCTTTACATCCTCCACTCCTCCTCTGGCTCCTCCCACGTATTTACATGCAGTTTAATGGGGATCTTCAGGTCTGAATGCATGGTTTTGATTCTACACAGATGGCTCTGCCATCTGCATTTTAGGCTTTTGAGGGAAGCATAAAGAGCTGCGCACTAACATAGGCAGAAACACTGCTCTAAAAGTAAAGAAACCCTTGATTTACCCTCGGCACCCTTTGGCTGACTGTGCTTTCATTCAGATATGTCAACAGTCAATTAATGCTGCCTTTCGTCAGCTGCTTTGGGTGCATCCGCACAAATTTGTTAGTTTTCTCACTTGAAATAAAGGAGACAGTATAAATATTGAGGCTACGTGCCTGAAGTTGTTAATCAGTTTGGCAAAAGAGCAGAAGAGAAGTGTTTGTCTTTAATTAGAATACAGAGAAAAGTATGTGTCTGAACATACAACAGGTAAAAAGACATAATGTGTTCCTGAAGTCTCTTTTTAGATGTGTAAAACAAGTGATTCTTTTTAAAGTTTGGATTAATTTTTCCTGGTAAGTGACCTCACATTGTTGTCCTCATTAACGCCTATGGGAGGAGACTGTGGTGATAACAAAAGTATGTCAGCTATGTCAATAATAATCCGTTATCACAAATCAGTAAAGCTCTCTCCTCTGCCTCTTTCACTTAAAAAACATATTTGTGAGTGAAAACTTTTCAAACTTTGCTGAAAATGAACCAGTTATCAGACAATGAAACTGTGAGGTTAGAGGACATTTACAGGTGAGTCTGTTGATAGGTAACGTCACAGAGCAGAGTCAGGCTGGCTGCTGGTAGGAGAGTCAGAATACTGTAAGTGTGTGTGTGTGTGTGTGTGTGTGTGTGTGTGTGTGTGTGTGTGTGTGTGTGTGTGTGTGTGTTTGTGTGACAGTGTGTGGATTAACCCATGGCTAAAGCCATGCGTGTTTACACGCTTATAGACACTGATTTGTTTTGACAAAGGAACTGCCATAACAAAGCCAAGCAAATATAAACAGTGTGTGCAGTGGGAATAAGCTTTAGTGAAACAGCTTCACAGTATCACAGGTGTCTCAAACAGGCATCCAACCTTTCATTCACCTTCAAGTGATACATCACTACATTCACACCTTTTCACCACCACAGTGTCAGATCTATGCTGCTTTTATAAGATGTCTATAAATATTTAATATTTAGGAGATAATATTTTGTGTTTTTATTCAGTTACGCTTCGTGTTACATAGAGGACGCCACTGGATCTATAAATTATGTATGCTATATATCTTTATTCTTTTCCAAAAGACTTAGAATGTGTATGAAAGCAGATGCAGTAACGGGCACTGCTTAATCCTCTTCCATCACTTCCTCCGTGCATACCTTACCTCGCCCTGCCCCTGCTCTCACTGCTGAATTATTGAAACCAAGACATGAAAGTTAATTTGCTAACTGTCTGTGCTTTAGCTGGCTAAACTCAGCTGAGAGGCCCTTGTCTCTGGAGGCGAGGGAAGGAAAGGGAAGGCTGGACGGGGCAGCCTGGGGCTAAATGTCAGGTGTGTTTCCAGGGGACGAGGCAGTGGGAGAGATCTCCTTGATGTGTGGACATGGAGCAAAGTACTAGTTAGGCCACATGAGGTTAGGGCCAGTAAAGGAAAGAAGATCAGAGATGGTGTTGTAGTGTTGTGTGCCTCAGCTACAGTCCAGCAAGGCTGGAAAACCATTGCAAATGATCTTGTAGCTTAAGAGAGGGAGCATGAGAAACAGACAGCAGATGCACCACATGGCTTTGTGGTTATTTCAATGTAAACTCACACGCTAGCTTTATATCATGATATCCAGTCAGCGGTCAAAGCAAAGGTCAAACGTTCTTCCTCCCACTCAGACTGATCTCCTGTTTCTCGTCATGTAAGTTGCTACAAAATATTTTATTGTTAAATTTCATTTGTGGATGTTTTCAGCCGAGGAAGGAGAGTGAAATGTGTAGGAGAGGAAATGTGAGACGAGAAGTGGACTGTGTGTGGTTGTGGTTTTGCCTTGTAAGCATCTCATCTTTTATTCCTGAGTGACATGTGTAACTAGTGCAAGGTTCACAAGGAAGGAATTCAGGTTTACAGTATGCACAGAGGGAAAAGTTGTGGCCCTGACCTTCAGTTTGCCTCTGACACAGCTCTCCTGTACAGTACATCCACCCCCACGTCTCCTTTATCTACCTGGCCTTCCTCGGGCTCTGCTCCATGAGCCCGCAAAAAAGTCTCCTCCTCAGCTGAGTTACACTTACTGCTTCTGACAGAGTATAAAAAGGTGTCCCCTGAAGCCTGGATTGAATGAGTGTTTTTAAATAATGCATTGCAGCCAGGGCAGGTGCCCATCGCTAGGGCATAGAGCCCCTCAGATCACACCAGGCTCTGCCATGAAAATTTCATTGCTGCAGTGCTCATGGGAATCTCTGTTCGATGCTGTACAGTGTGAACAGGGTGTATAGGAGCTGACGCCTGCCGCTGGGTATTTCACACTGGAAAAAAGGCTTGGGGGTTTTTTTTTTCCCCCCAACGTTTTAAACCAATGGACTCCCCATTTTACCAAAAGCCCGGGAAACTTAAACGCCCCTGCACTGTTCAGGCTGATGGTGCAAAAGCATATTCATTTCCCCAAAAACCCCAAAAACAAGGGGGAAAAAAAGGACAAATCTGACATTTAAAGTAGTGTTATATCCATCCTCATTTATTTCTTCAGGTTCAATTTGATTCACTCACTAAAATACAGCTAAATGCAGCTGCCAAAACCCTGACGAGAGAAGAGAGGACCTGTGGACTCTCAGCTGAGTTGGTTGCATTTATTACCATGCGCTTACAGCCATTCATGTTTAGGTGCACCAGCGAGATATACAGTATGTGGATGTCTTTTCACCTGCGTTTTGCCCCACAGGGAAGAGGCCACCTTAACTTGGTCTTGAGAGAAAGACATTAGTCACTATTTTGAACTAAAAAACAAAAACACTTTGAATTTTTTTTTTTTTTCAGGTGAAAAATAAAAACCAAAACATTTCTTTTGTGTTTTCATTTACATTTAACAGTCTCACTAAAAACATTGAATACCAGTCAAATGTAAGGTAACGGACAGCTGTGCGTTCTTATGAAAAACACTATAACTAGTTTTATCATATGTTATCTGCTAGACTGATATAGATGTATATAAAAGTGTGGAATTGCATTTCTTTTTTTTGAGGGTGGGGGATGAAGAAGAAGAAGCTGTGACTTCATCTGGAACCAAACTAAGTGAAATAGAAACCTCTGAAGTGAACAAATCACACAGCAATTTCATTACACAAATTTTCAGGCAGCAACACGTAATTGAATGTGATAGGCTAGCTCCTAAACACAACACTAATCAGTTTCACTCGATGACACCAAGACAGCCGCTCCATCTGAGATCAATATTAAACATTTACAGCAAGTGGTTTGCTCCTACTAATCCTTTTCTGTACGTGCAATCTGTGACCTGGCCTGACCAACCCTCTGTCATCACACAACATAGACGTACACATTGTTTTTTAACTGGGTGTTTACACTGAATATCTGAAATGAGTGTTGATACAGTTGTAACTGATGTAAGAGGGAGAAATACAAGAGTCGATAGCATCTAGTGTCTAATGCTAGTTGAAACTGGTTTGGACCAGATGTAGCAGATAATTTTCTTTTAGCGGTTGGTTGATCAGACATTGCAGTGAAAGTCAGCGATATCTTCAAGAGGATAAAGGGTCAGGTTGTTCGACTCTCGCCCCGGCTCATTATTGATTAATTCAGTATCATCCTGCATCAACCCAAACATTACAAGTCAGTGTCTGCTCCGGCCTTGACGCATGTGATCAGCTTTAAAGCAGTCGACCACCGTACACACGGGCACAGCGGCTCCCCTCTTCTTGTGGTCTGTGGTCTGTCTAGCCTGCATTTGGTAAGGGAGTAGAAACACTGAGCTGTAGACGCAGAAGACAACATTATTGTTATTAAGTAGCTCTTTTCTGAAGTCTGGGCCAGCCTCTGTAGTCTTGATCCCTTCTTGTCTCTCAGGGATGACGGTTACAACAGTTAACAAGGAGACAGCCATGACAAGTAACGAGGATGAGTCAGCTGTTAGAGCGAGAGAGAGAGAGAGAGAGAGAGAGAGAGAGAGGGAGAGTATAAAAAAAAATCACACTGATATGGAGATGTGTGATTTTAATTGATCAGACTCAGAACCATCTACAGTCTTTTGTAAACTGTCTGTCCTTTTACCTCTTCAGTGAAAAACAGGCCTTTGTTCAGTCTGATCTAGGTTGAAGTGGTTAAAGGAACAGCTCAACATTTGGGAAATAAGCTCAGTAGATTTCTTGCATAGCGTCGGAGAAGGAGATTCAAACCTCTCTCGCATCTGTCCGTTACATTTGAAGCTGTTGCCGGGAGACGGATAGCTTAGCTTAGCATAAAGACTGGAAACATTTTATGCTTCGGATCAACGTGTCACACAAACTGATTTTTTTCACTTTTCTTCATAGCGAAAACTACAATGTGTGTTTTATTCTTGGTCACATTTTTGTTGGGAAACTGCAGAGTGAAAATTTGAATGACTCGTTTAAAACGATATTATAGTAAACCAAATCAGATTAGTGTTATTAGTTATATATAAGTATGATTCGTTCTCTCCATGACTAAATTGTTAAACCTGCCACAGTTCTCCTTTCAGCTGCAGTTTCTGTGACACTCTGTTTGGTAAAGGCTTTAAAGAAAGATTTAGTATTTTTGCTGTCTCCACTAAATTAAATGACTGCTCATGATGTGAAAGGATTGCTGGTAGAGCCTAGTCCACGAGTCACCACCAAACTTTTCAGCCCTTTGCTACTTGTAGCAGCTATGTTGTTGCTGTTGTTGTTGCTGTTGTTGTTGTTTGAGCCTGTGGTTGGGTCCCAACAGTTCTCTCTAACACCCCTGTATTTGAACCATATTTGAGTTTTATGGACCAATTCAGAGCTAAAATGTGAGTATTTGTCAGGATGTGGGATTTAACTCCAATGGGATGCTCATGTTGCTCTGTGTCTGTTGGTTACGTAAAAGCTTGATAGGCTGATAATATGTGAGGACTGTGTTTCTGTGAGTTTGTTTAGGAATCTTTCATTTTAAGAAATTAATTACAATTTATTGCCATTTTTCCACCCCTATGCCTGATGCATAAATAAGCATCAGCACGTGTAATAACAGGAATCCAGCGAGCACTGTGGTACTATCTGAGAGTTCAACTTCAGCCACATCTGAGGATATTTTTCGTCTCCTCTGTCCATGTTTCTACACTATTTTGTTTTCAGCCTCTGTGCCTCAACAGCTCAGTTCCTAAAACCACAGGGAAATGGCTGAGTGCCACCGAGGCTCTCCAGCTCAGAGCTGCAGAGCTTTCCATCACACGTTTACAACTCCTCCGCAGCATATATGATCTCCATACTGTAAAAACTCTTGTTTATCCAAGCTCCATCTCAGATGACACAGTGATGATTTCTGCCAATTGTGCACATTTGCTGGACTATAGTTGATGGACTACATGAAATGAAACAAGTGCGACACATTTAGGGATGAAGAAAGAGCATTAGCTTGTTTTGAAATAATCTTTCAAATGAGCAGTGTTTTCCAGAGTGAAATGATTTGAGGAGCTAATGGGATGTATAAGATGTGATGCTCCGCACTGACCTCTCTCTCCCTCTCTCCTTGTCTCTGTTTTCCAGGTTAGCTTTATATGTGTACGAGTATTTGCTCCATGTCGGCGCACAGAAATCAGCACAGACCTTCCTGTCAGAGGTAAGAAGTTCTTTCAGTTCCCTTTGAAAGGAAAAGGATTCCCCCTCCATTGTATGATCAGGAATGGAACTCACATTATAGGTTGTCGTGGGTTCAAGCAGCTGTTGACTAATCTTCCTACAAGCTGGGGTCTGGACTTTGGAAACTATAACAATATTAATGTCAGTGAGCTAAGGCCTGTTTTTTTTTTTTTTTTTTTACAATGGTTGAACAACAGCAATGTTTTTTTTTACAGTTTATTAATTTGGGACAATGTAAACATGGCATCGATAGGGCTACATAATTACCTGCCCTTCATTATTATCTCTAATTTGTAATCATAAAGTCTGTATAATCAGAGCAGTTTGACATATTGTAAGCATGTGTTGCTGCTCGCTTTCAGCGGTGACATTTAGAAAGCGAAGCCAGTCATTGGTGAGGTAAATCGAGTGTACCTTTAGTATTTGAAACCATTCCAAACATAACCATTTGTCCCAGGTCTGCTAGACTTATTAGTCTCATATTAGGCCCCTGAACTGTCGAAGAGGTAAGGGCTCTAATGTGTTGCATCCTCTTCCTTAATGGACATCCTTCCTGCTAATGGTCCTGTGTCCAGGCCTTCTCTTGTACAACACCTCTCCTGCCCACTGGCTTTATTCAGCTCCACTTAATACGCTTCCCAACACTGAGAGAGGGCTTTAATGGCAAGCAAGGGCAGGTCTATATCATTCAACTGTAATACTGACATAATTTCATCAGGTGAGCTCGGTGTAGAGTCACATAGAGATACGATTGCACCCGCACAAGCTCACAGATGTGTGGCGCACACACACACACACACACACACACACACACACACACACACACACACACACACACACACACACACACACACACACACACACACACACAATGCTCACGCCCAAAAGTGAGAGTGTGGTAAGCTTTAACTTTAACAGGACATTTTAACAAGCTGTTCAGCTAGTCACCTGTGTGTGTGTGTGTGTGTGTGTGTGTGTGTGTGTGTGTGTGCGTGTGTGCGTGTGTGCGTGTGCGTGTGTGCGCGTGTGCGTGCGTGTGTGTGCGCGTGCGTGCGTGTGTGTGTGTGCGTGTGTGCGTGCGTGTGTGTGTGTGTGTGTGCATGCCTTCAGTCTACCTGCGAGGATAGAAATCCCTTATCTATTGAAACATTTGTGCATGTTTTTCTCTGTGAGTGAGTGTATGTGTGTATTTGTGTGAAGACAGAGCCTGTGATATACAGAGGCTGCGAGAGCTGAACGCACTGCTGCTTAAGAAAACATCTTCATCCCTTTAAGTGCTAGCAACAAGTTTTGGTGATGTGGAAAAGTTTAGTTTTTAATTTGCTTAGGAACCAATGGAGTTCTGATTACATGTTCAGGTAAAGGAATAGTTTTGTGAAATGGTCTTGCTGAGTTATGCCCCAATTAATCTTTTAAAAAGTAATATCTCCTTCAGTTGAGTTGAAAAGGGTTTGGATTTTTGAAGGAAATAAATTAAAGATAAAATAGAAAAAAAAAAAAAACTTACCCTAAACCACTCTCACTGGGACGGATGCGCCAATCAGATGCAATCAGACAGAAATTGTTTGCCTTTGCTTATAGTGTGCAGGCAGGCAGGTGGGCGAGTGGGCACGGCTGCTGGAGGCCGGCCCACCTGCCAACAGCCAGGAGTGGACATCTAAAAAGCACAGGGAGATTAAGTGGTCGGGCTGCAGAGAGCCTCACTGATTTCAGAGTCCTTGTGGGTGAATCTTCTCCCAGAAATTGAGTGTTATTGGTGAGCTGCTGGAAAGGGGTGAAGTTGTGGGTCGCAGGTAACCAGAGGCGCACACACACACACACACAACACACACACGCACACACACACACATTCATAGATTCACACACACTTAAACGGCCTCAAACAGGAATTAAAACAACATCTATATAGACAGGGATTAAAACAACATACACACAGACACTCACACAAACAGTCCATGTCCACAAGGCATGCATGCTAAGACTGCTAAGTCAATTTGACGCCAGTTGTCTCAGATGCTGCGCCTGCAACAGTATATTGCTTAATGATTTTGTTTATTTCAACCACAGCTTCGTTTTCATTTTGGTTGTCTTATATGGTCAGAGTCAGTGTATTAGGATTAGACTGACAGTAATGGGTACATCCAAGCAAACACTGCAGCTTGACCTTTCACCTTTTCCCCTTCATGTGCTTCTAGCTGTAGGCTTTCAAGTGTTGAGGGATTTCTCATGAGTATTTGAAGGTTGCAGACAGACAGATTTGTTATATCCAATGACCGTGTTAGCGCTCGCTCACTGTTCCCCAGACCTGATCACCCTCTCCTTGCTTTGATTTTTTCCCCCTCTTTTCCTTTCTTTTATACATTGATCATCCCTCTTTTCCCTCCTTTCCCTCCCTTTATGCTCCTGTTAAACCTCCTCACTTCTTAGTGCCTCCTTGTTTCCTCCTCATTCTCCTGCTGCTTTCTTCTCACAATAGTGAACAAGAGTGCTCAGTGCACGACAATGAGACAGTGTTCCCATAAAAAAACAAGCCCCTGGGCAAGCAGCTTATGATATAGTTACGTTTTATTGTTAGGCGACCTTTAGTAATCTAGCACTGTAGTAATTGTGAGAGGAGGAAAGGAGATGGATGGATGGATGGATGGATGGGTCGACAACTTTCACACAGGAGACCTCCGTGAAAACCATAACCAGCATTGTTTCTTTTACCCTGTTACCATGATAACAAAGGTCCATATGTGTCATTAAGAAAGGCAGTAAATAAAACACAACAACATTGAGAAGTACCTTCATAAGTACATAAGATGCATGTAAGATGCACTATAAACAAAGAATATGCAGGTAAATACAGACAGTACTGGGCAATATTCCTTTTGAAAGCTCCTTTTGAAAGTTGAAAACTCTAGAAAAAACAAATTTGAGTTTTTTGTCAAAACACAACAGAAATTTCTGATGAACACTCTCAAGGCTAATGGTAGGAGTGTAGTCAATATATTCAGTAATGTTTTTGAAAAAAAAAAAAAGATTTTTAAAAACTAAAATATAGATATCAAAGCTAAATTTGTCTTCTTCTGTTGGGTTGTATTGTTTTGTAGGTATTCTATAGATTTAGGATGTTTTTTCTTAATTCCAGCATGTGAGTTGTTAAAGGGGTGAAGATGTTTTCTTAAGCAGCAGTGCGTTCAGCTCTCGCAGCCTCTGTATATCTCTGTCTCTGTCTTCACACAAATACACACATACACTCACTCACAGAGAAAAACATGCACAAATGTTTCAATAGATAAGGGATTTCTATCCTCGTAGGTAGACTGAAGGCACACACACACACACACACACACACACACACACACACACACACACACCTGCTCATCTAATGAGAACGCTATCACCTGGACTCTCCTGCCTCAATTAGCCTCTGTTCCTCCTTCAGTGAGAAGCTCACACACATACACACACACACACACACACACACACACACACACACACACACACACACTCACTCACGTTTATAGTATACACACAAAACACTTCTGTCCCCAGGAGGACTTGCCACTCTATGCTCTCTTGCACAGTGCAGCGCTCAGCTCTTTAGCAGCATTAAATCAACAGGCCCACACCCACATACGGCACATCACATCACTATAAACTGCACTGGGGAAATCTATAGAATAGAGCCTTTAATAGAAATCTGAAGCTTGGATCTGTTTTTCTATATATATATATTTGGAAAAATAGAGAAATCTTGCTGCTCTCATGCTGTCCTCACAGACTCTGGTGAATCATCACTCAGACTGTATGCACTGAGTGTGTGTGTGTGTGTGTGTGTGTGTGTGTGCCAAGTCACGGCAGTAGGAGTGTGTGAAGCAGGCAGCGGGTCTGCTATCTCTCACTGGATCTTATCTCGGTGTCCAGATACAGGCAGGAGCTCTGCTGGTTTGTGAGGGCAGTGGAGAGGGCTGCTGCTTCAAGACAGTCACAGTGTCTCATCCGCAAACTTCGCACCGCACTGCACTTCACTGCACTGCCCGTCAGCCTATTTTTCTGTCTGACCATCGCTCTGTCTGTCTAAAGCTGGAAGGACAGTTGAGCAAAATGATTACATTATGCATAAAACATGCTGCAGTGTCTAATTTTTCATTTCCCTGCTCTGTCTTCTCCCCTCAACCCTTTTCCTCTATCCCACTTCTTTCTCTCAGATCCGATGGGAGAAGAACATCACACTTGGGGAACCTCCAGGATTTTTACATTCATGGTGGTGGTATGTATACGTTGAAGCTCTCTCTTTTTCTTGACCACACACGCATTGTTTTTTTTCTTTTTCAACAGCTCACATTCATACAGTAGAAGTACTCTTGATGGTCTGAAAGAATGTGAAGGGGTGGAGAAGGACAGTAATTGCAGGGAATGCTAAGTGCATCATCTCACACATGTTTAAGTGCTGTACTTCTGGCATCCCTCTGATTGACAAGTGAGCTAACTTCCTTTGCTCTGTTATTTAAATTTAACTGTTTAAAAAAACAGCTCACATTGAAGCATGCACTGTCCAATCAAATTCAGAATCAGATTCTCTGTCACTGGGGTTATCAAAGTCTGACACTGCCCCCCCCCCCCTCCCGGACAAAAATGGGACAACTGTGTCATCCTCAGCACAGCCCCCCCACCTCCAAGTGTTGGAACTGCAGCTCTCATGACACTTTAGGGGGGGATGTAGATAAGAGGTATAATGTTGCTGTGGATTCAGTGAGTTTTTTTGCCTGCATTTGCAAATTGGCATCATTAAAAGTAAACCGAATTAACTGTTAGCAGTTGATGTTTGCCCTGTACCCATGTGTGTACAGGCAGCTATCATGGGATTTCTTTGACACTCAAGAAAACAAAAACGTGGTGATTCTCAGGCAAGTTCAGGAGATATAAGGAGCCTCTTTTTTTCTATCATTTCTAAGGGGATTTATGGAGATTTATGGAGATTTATTTGCGTTGAAAATCAGAGATATTGATACCTTCAAAAAATCATCATAAGGTCTTCGATAAGGAGTGCCATGAATTGTGGCAATTGGGCACTGAGGTTTTTAAAGTAACTTAATTGCAGTTTAAAACTTCTGCTCCATCACAAAGTTTTTGAGACTCTTGTTCAACTTGATGCTTCATGCAACAGAACAAGGCTCTGACGTGGCTTGTCCCTCTTTTCTTTCAGCTTCTTTAAACAAATCTGTCAGATCTGTTAATGCTAGATAAATAGAGAACAGTGTTTTCTGGAAGAACGGGGTCAGTGGGCTTACGGCCTGACACGTACACTGTTTTCCTCCATGTCTGAATAAGAGGGAATGGAAACACCCAAATGTAGGATTCCCCTTTTCTAGTTGTCAGGCCAAGAGCTAGAAAATCTAGCTTTGAGTCAAAGAGTGGAGCAGACGTGCAGTAAGGAGGAAGCTGGGCAGCTGGAAAGATTGCAGACAAACAGACGAGCAGGCAGACACGCAGGGAGGTTGAGAGGCTGAATCTTCAGCAAGGCAGCACGAGAGGCGAAGAGAGCCAGGATAAGAGGTTTGACAGGGCTCGCTTTGTTTGTCATTCATGCTATCCTGCTCATCCCCAAAGCCCCCTGGCCGGCCCTGTGTAATAAACCCGGACATGCGGCTTCATTCATTCATCCTCTCTGGCCCCAGCGTGTGTTGTAATTGTGCCGCCTGTTGACACGGTTCATAATGGTCCTTAAAGAGCCTGGCTTCTCTCAACCTGACAGCTCTCAATTGGACAGCTACCAGTAATGCTGACAGAATGACATACACAAACATACAGCACAGTGTAAGTTTGCTCTCGCCTCTGCCCGAACCAATAAGAGGGCTCAGGGAGACTGGCCCAGTGTGTGTGTGTGTGTGTGTGTGTGTGTGTGTGTGTGAGAGAGAGAGAGAGAGAAACTGTACTACTTTCTGACTGTATTGATATATTTCAGCAGAGTGTGGGAGATGACCTTGTGTGTGTGTGTGTGTGTGTGTGCGTGTCTGTGTGCGTGCCAGAGAGCAGTTGGAGAGTAGGCTGATGATTAGCCAGACTGAGCAGGGCAGGGCTCCAGTGTAGTATGACCTAGCTGAGGGGCGTCTGTCTGGGCCACGCAGCACGTGGACATGGAGACTCACTGGGGGTGGGGTCCGGGGGTCGGCTAGGAGGAGGGGGAGGAGGGGGGCGGAGTCCCTTGTCCACCCCCTATGCCATGCAGCGAACCCACTCCCCACCCCCCCCTTCAACCTCCAGCCTCCCCCAAAACAAAAGCTCCAGATGGTAGGAAAGCCACCAACCTCCCTCATCCCTCACCCTTCGCTCCCCCTCCCTCAACCTTTGTCTGGAGGCCTGTCCCTTTGTTTGCGGAAGAGAGACCCCCGAACGGATTAACTCTTTGCATTCCAGCCTCTTTTGTGTTAAACAGCCAAATCTAAGACCCCGACCCCACCGCCACCCCAGCCCCACCGCCGCCGTCCCCTCCTCAGCTCCTCACTGAGGTTTTCTTCCCTCCTGTCTCTGTTTCTGTGGCTGTTTCCTGTAGGACAGCGTTGGTAGGTGGGGGGGGGCTTCAGAATAAGACCGTGGCTGTAAGAGGGGGAGGGGGAGGGATGTTGGGGGAGGAAGAGGGAGGCTGGTGGTGGGGGTCACTCATCCACATCTGTTGTTATGGGTGGAAGGATAAAGAAAAGGCTCAGCGAGGGCTGCAGGTGTTGATTGTGTCATTAGCTCCCTCTCTATTGGCTGCTGCTAGTTGTCTCCTCCTTATCCCAAAATCGATTGCTTTAACCAGTTTTCACTGGATGGCCGCTGAATCCTCAATACACACCCCCACCCCCCATCACAGAAAACATTAACACACACAAAAACCTCAGCACAACAACAGTATGTAGAGGGATCCTCTGTGTGATAGCCTCTGGCTGAAATTCTTGTTTGTGAGGGGCAGAGAAAACAGTGAGAGTACAGCCAAGCTCTGCTCTTAAATGTCTGGACTGCTCTTTATAAACACAGGTACCAGACAATCTTCTTCGCCATTCTCCTTCTCCTTCTTTTCTCCTTGTCTAATTCATCCTTCCGTCTTCACTTCATACCATTCAGATTGTAAATACGAGCAGCTGAGTCGGAAAAACCATTCACATCAGCCTCCTAATTGTAATTCAGAGTTGGAGACATTGGGAATTTCTGACAGCTCTGATATTTCACACTTGGTGAAAAGAAGTACGGTGTCAACAACATGGTGGCAAAATGGCTGGAAAGTCTCCATCACTGGCATCTAAATATAATCCAACGTTTATACTCATACTGTCAACTCAGCTGATTTAAAAGGAGCTATACACTGTTCGCATCTGGTCTCAGTTTCTAAACTACAAATATGTAACAAAACAAAAATGGCTCGTTTTATCGTATCTGGTGTGGCTGCAAGGTTAGCAGTGGGGGTAGCCATCTTGGAATAATGGAGGAAGTTTTTGCGTTCTTCTCAGTCTGCCAGCCTTTTATGAATGCACCATATCCAAATACAATCCAAGTCGTGTAGAAATATGGTAGTGACGATATCGGGTACTTCCTAAAAACACAGACAACAAACTGCTTGAAGTAGTTGAGTTTGGAATAAATGGGGCCTGGTTACACCACCAATTCATACCTGCGAAATTTAGGACTAAAATCAGTTCAGGTCAGAGCACCTGAGTAAACCCACGCAGAGCTTTCCAGTTCAACGTATGATTTCACAGCATCAACTGAAAACTGTTTGACACACTGATGTTTGGGGGAAAGGACACACGGAGAGTCAAAAACAGGAGAAGCTGTGTTGCACTTTGCAATTTTATACAACCTTTGCTCCACAAAACAGATGTGGGATGGTTTGCAAACAAGTCGTGAGACAGGAGAAGATGGTCGAGTGCTTTTGCAGAAACAACCCATGTTAACTTGCTGTTGCGTTTAAAGTGTCACCGTGATTCCATCGCTACCTATTTTGTATGAATTTATTTTGAATGTGTGATCACTTTGTCTCAGACTGTCCAAAAAGTCTGTGCCTGATTGCAGGAATATCCTCCACCTGTCTAACAACACCCATGCAACTTCATTTTTTGTTGCTTCCTCTTAAGCCGTTAATCTTCTTGCAATGACAGTTGCTGTATTTATTAGCCACAGTCCAAAGGGAGTGTTGCTGATTTACATGGCACTGTGATGTTGTTTCCTCCCGCTCACTGAACGCACTGCTGCTACCAGGAGAATAGCTGCTACTTGAGTCAAGGTAATAAAGACAACTGGAAGGGTTGTGTTTCTCCGCCTCTGCTCTTTGATTGCAGCATTTTGTCCCATTAAGAAGAGTCTGCTCTGATAAGAGGAGGAGACGGCATGGTTGGCTTTCTGTAACTTTATTTTTTGGACTCTGGTTCTTTCAGTTATGCTCTGTCGACCTCCTTATCTCAATTTGTCTCCATCTCTGTCTTAATTTCTGTTTCTTTTCTCTTCTGACTGACTTAATGTCTGGTTAGATGGCTGGCCAAAGACATGCATAGGATTATCATGTAGACCTGCCACCAGCAGCCTGTCTTTCTGTGTCTTTGTTTACTCTCCTTATTATAATGGAAAAGCACATTGTAACCACTGGCTTTGTCAGACCACAGTTAATTGCAAATAATTATCGTGATGGCATTTCATTTTAGTAATTGTCTTCTTCTGGACGGCTGGACGCTAATCCCTTCCTCCTCTGTTCTGGATACAAAGTGTGTGTGTTTTTGTGTGTGTGTGTTTTTGTGTGTGTGTGTGTGTGTGTATGTGTGTGTGTGTGTGTGTGTGTGTGTGTGTGTATGTGTGTGTGTGCTGACAGTGCCAGCTCATATTTTTTCTTTAGCCTTGTTTCTCATTTGAATGAATGAAGAAAAAAAAAAAAAAGACTTTGCATGACTCTGAGCTGCAATTTAAATCTCTCCTGTGACCCTTCAAAGTAAGAGCAGTTAAAAGTTTCCCTCTTCACAGAGTTGTGTGGCTCAAATACCACCAGTTACTACCCATAATACCATAAAGAGCTTCTCATGATTAGATGATTAGATTGAAATGATTAGATAATTGGATAGAAAATTTACTATTACAAGGGTGTGCAGAGTACAAGATTTCTTGCAGATTGCTGGTGCTAATTAACTGCGAATGTTGACTTCCCAGATAATTTCTAAAGATTAATGTCTGTGAAAAGGAAGCGACAACAACTATGACATGGGCTTACCCCCTAAATGTGGGTGGGACTGTCAGATCAGCAAACAATGGTCACATTCAGTTCTAGCAATACATGAGCTGGCACAGTAAAACAGATTTTTCTTCCCCTGACGGCACCATGACCCTGAAAATTTAGTTTTCAGAGAATCTGTGTTTAATTAGGAGAGAACCAGAGTAATTTTGCTTGCTATTATAACACCTCTTCTCACCTAATGGCCCCTTTCATCTCCTTTTCTTCCCATTCTAACTCTATCCAGAAAAATCCATCCTATGTCAGCCACCTAAAAAATGATCAGAATAATGAAAGTCTTGCTTTCTCTGTTTAGTCCCGCCCACTAGTGATCCAGCTTCAGATTATGCAGAGACACACAGAATGAAATCTCCCTGCATGGCTCAGACAGACGCAGGTCAGCTGTTCAAATCGCAATATATTTCAGACGCACAGGCCAGGAGATGTTAGATCACCTTGCCCCTACCCCCTGTGCCTGTACCTGCTTGTGTCTTTTCGGTAACAAACTGTAACCTGCGTCCCGTTTCATTTCCCTGAGAGCTGATTGAATTTGTGATGGCCGCGCCTTCTCGCTGCGGCTCCTCTGACAGAGCAGCAATCTCTTTAACACCAACCGATAGATATGATAATGTACACTGGCTTCATTGTCAAGTGACAGAAGGGCAGCACAACACACACACACACACACACACACACACACACAGACACACACACACACACACACCATATGTGTTCACCACCGTCTTTGCACAGTCCCTCTCTGTTCCCTCTGCGCCCTCCTTGTCTAGAGGGGACCCCAGTGCTCGCTGAACGCCTCAGGGCACCAACTCTGTCTTTTAATCTTTAAATACTTTAATAACACATTTCTATTTTAGTTCATATGCTTTGAGAGGTTGTTACTGTGTGCCACAGGGTTGAAATTTATTGTTCTTTTTATTTTTAGGACACCTATTGTTGCATTCTTGTTTTGTTATGCCCTCAAATAACAAAAATCAAAAGGCAAAAGGGAGAGTGTAGATCAGTGATCAACAGTGTTTTGTAATAACTGTATTTAGGAGATAATAACACTAACCCATGAAAATCAAACATCCTTTACGGTGGGAAATGACCAACATGTGACAGGGTGCCACTGAGCGATTCTCTGACAGTTCTGGGCAATCAGCTAATATTTTCTGCTCCATTTCGCAGTCTGTCATATCAAGTGTCACGGCTGTTCCTAACATCAGCACAAAGAATGCATGTAACAGTTTATTTGCACCTTTAAATGACAGCAAGAATTTCCTCTCATGAGTTCAGCAGTTCTGTTTTTCTTCTTTTTTTTTTCTTTAAATTTATTATACACTGTCCATGAAATCAATATCTTGAAGAAGGAGAACTCCTTAATATGGACTGGCTTACCAGGTACTTAATTTCAGCGCAGTAATTAAGGGCCCATTTGGAGTGGGACCTGGTGGCTCCTGCTGCCCTGGAGGAGTGGGATTGGTCTAATTAACCAATATGAGTATGGCTGATTGGGCAGTAAGTAACATAATCACAGCTGATAGGACAATAACCTGCAGGTCAGCAGGGCAGACTGAGAGGAACATTTGGAGGCTGGTCCTTCCTGGATAAAAGCTCTGTGGAGCTGAGCTGCAGGCTTCAGGCTGGACTGTCGGGTTGCGGTGGCCAAAATGGAGTCTGCACTTTATCTGACTGTAGAGGGTTCTGATTTTTACAAGGCTTTTTGATAGGGCTATCAAACCTCAATACTTTGTGAGTGCTGACCAAAATGTGTCTTTATTGTTGAGTGTTAAAAACAGAAGAGCTGAAATGCTGAGTTGATTAATCAATTAATTGATCAACAGCAATTCAATTAAGTCCATTTTTAAGCAATATGTGAAAAAGAAATCAGTGGTTCCAGCTTACTGATGTGAATATTTGCCAGGTTTTTTTGTCGTCTATGATGATAAAGTACATATTGTTTCGTTTGGACAGTTGGTCGGACAAAACAAGCAGTTGAAATATATAACTTCAGTTTTTCATCAGTTGCAGCTCTGTTGTCAAGTATTGAAAGGTAACATCAAATGCATTGAAGGTCTTGTTTACATGTTTTTGGATCAGATATTTTCTGATTTATATCAAAGCTTTTATAGTGTTTTATTTAGTAAAAGAAGGAAGATTCCCACATGTTGCTCTTACACTGAAGACATTTATTAAATTGATACTTGAAACCCATGTTTTGCTCTCAGCAGTCTCCTCCAAACTATTAAATTTTGGCAAGTTCTTTTATGGTTCTTATATTAAGAGGCTGTTGCTGCTGTCACTTGTGATTTGATTCATAAAAACTAATGAATAATGTGTGATCATTGACTTCAGTTTTTCATATTCATACCAGTACTTAAACATTTCTAACATAACCTGCTTTAGTAGTCATATAAGATTTTTTGGACCTCTCCATCCGATCACTTTAACCACATGAACTCAAAATTTGTTTCCATTAGAGATTTGCAACCATATCCACAACAGAAACACAAGAAGCAGGAACATTATATGTCTTTGGATCACACAGGAAAGTGTCTAACTACTGTCGCTCTCTTGTCTTGTGTGCACAGTGTATTCTGGGATCTGTACTGCGCTGCCCCGGACCGGAGGGAGACATGCGAACATTCCAGCGAGGCCAAGGCTTTCCATGACTATGTGAGTGAACTTAACCAACCCTCGGGTTGTGTACGAGGGGCACAAATATACACACAACAACCACTTGGACACTCACATTCACACATGGTTATGAGCAGAGAGCACACGCAGAGTGTGTATCAGAGAAACTATTCTGACTGTGATAATGCTGCTGGTTCTTGTTTTGACATGTTTCTTGCTGTCTGCATGTCTGCTGTGTCTGCAGCACCCTCTGTTCTGGATGGGACAGACTCTGAGCCAGACAGCTGAAATAGGCTGCTTTTAAAAATGCAGCACCTATGAACACCAGTTATATATTTTATGGGAAAGCCCTTAGACTTCCATCTTTGAATTTTTAAAGTCTAGCAGAGGTCTTCATGGCATTCTGCCTCATTTCACACATCCCACCTTGATCAGTTATCTCACATAAGCAGCACAACGCTGTAGCTCAGCTGCTGCCCGCACTTCCTCAAACGCCGACCCCTGACCCCTCAGGTCTTAGCGAAACTGACAGCCTGAGGTGAAAGGTCGCAGCAATGCCTGGCTATTTATTGGTCCACTCACTGTTTCGTGAAAGGTCAAAGCACATAAAGCAGCTGGCTGATCACACGAGCACATTAACACACACATTCACACACAATACATATACACACAGGACACATTTAGAGCTGGACAGGGCTTTGCTCGGCGTGGCTGCAGTGGCTGGACAGGGCGATGAAAGGTCAGGGTTTACAGCCCCCTTGACCCTCTCATCTTCTGGAGAGTTGGAGCAGTCGATCAGTAACCTATCAAACACACACACACACACACACACACACATGCGTGATTTTGAAGCGCTGGTTGATGTGTGAGTGGAGTCTTTGTTGTTCCAGCTCTCAATATTACAAATGACTATTCTGTTGTGATTATAGCCTTTAATACGTGAATGTGTTCCTTTTTTAATGTGTCCTCACTATATCAAATATTTGCTTCATGTTGCTTGAGTCATGTTTGAATAAGGATTACATGGGCATGGGTTACGATGTTGACTGGACAGACCTCTTCATTATGGTTCCACCTTGGCAGAAGTGAAACCTGAAATGGATTAGAGGTGCTATTCTTACCATACGCATTTCATTCAGGCTGTATTAGCCCGTAGCCACTCGCCCATTCAGCTGAACTCTCTTATGAGGTTTGACAGTAAAAGTGTGAGCACTTGTCAGCTGAACAGATTACATTTGTTGTGCATGTACTATGCATATGTGCGTGCCTGTGTGTGTGTGAGAGTCGGCACGAGTTGATGTGTGCATCTCTGCGCCTGTCTGTGTGTCTGTGTGTGTGTGTGTGTGTGTGTGTGTGTGTGTGTGCGTGTGTTGGACAACTATAAGATTAATTACATGGTTAATTAAACCTAGTAGTTAATTAAATCTGACAACTGTGTCTAATTAATCTAAATGCCATATAATTTCCTACACCTTTCTCCAGAGGTAGGCCAGCTGGATACCTGCATGTCAGCTCTTTAACAGCTCCAGTTTGACAGGCCCGGTCAATATACGGCAGAAGTTTCAAGCTTTCAATTTCTGCCACTGTACAAGCTGCATTTTAATAGTCCATGTGTTTCAGTCTGTGGTGACATTAATCAGTCAGGATCACTAATTCTGTTTTGTGTTTGACCATAGAGGGAATCATTGAAATATAGACTTAAATTGGAGTGAAGGATTTGAAAGGAGGCTATGAGGTCTGGTGAGCTCTTTTTCTTCAACAGACGAACACATAACTTAGTTCAATGATTCAGACGGTGTTGTTTGACCTTTTGACCTGGCTCAAGTTCAGGAGGTCAGAGTGACCCGTGCCGTCATACTGAGACGGCGGATTTGTTGGCGACGCATCAGACAATTAGTTGTTAGTTTCCCTTTTTGTTTCCCCTTATGTAGTGTGACGGTTAGAAAAATCATCTTATACCACCTTTTTTCAATTTGTCATTGAAGCTTTATGATGTTTACACTGAGTGAAATATTCTCATCCAAGACTATGATTTTATTGTTTCACAATTTTATCTAATGGAATTATTCTAGATGTCAGTGTTTGGCTGCACAGCAGGAGTTGGTAATGAGTGACTCAGGGGACTGCAGGGTTTTAGTAATGCTATTTTATAATAAAGGAATATTATTCATTTTACTTACATTGATTTGGTCTGTTACTGATTACAGATGTTGGAACTTCAGATTTAACCCAAAGCCACAGTCAACAGTAAAGCGTGTGACAGTAAAGTGTGTGTGCGTACACAGAGGGTGTGGCTGAGGCTAAGACAACATATAAAGCATGAGCAGGTGAGAGTGAGCACATGTACTTTTGCGTCGGCTACTGCGTGCGTGTGTGTGTGTGTGTGTGTGTGTCTTTGTGCATTTGTGTGACAGAGAGGGAGAGAGAGTGTCAGGGTCAAAGCGTGTGAATCCCCGGGGTGATGAGGGGTCTGTCTGTCTCTGATTAACTCTGTCTCCTTGGTCCCCGCAGACCGACGGCCTGATCAAGTCTCTATCACGGCCCCTTGCTGATAACGGCTCCCTCATTCCCCCGAGTCGCCCTGGATCACAGAGTGAAAAACAACACGGCTCCCAGGAGTCACACACACTCCGCTGTGTGTTGCTCAGCAGGAATAGGGAAAGAGGAATGTTTGCAAGATAAACCAGGATTGTTTTATTTATGCTTTATTTTTTTATATAATTGTCGGTCTTCCCTGGTAGCTACGCTGTCAGTTTGTTGTGGATAACAGTGAGAAAATACCGGCCCGGCGCTGTAAAATTGATATTTAGAAATACAGTTTTGCTTATTTGTTTCCTGGAACTAATTTGGTTGCTAGGCAACATTGAGCCAGAGTAGAGTCTTAGTTACAGATTTGGTTTGGCTCAGCTCAGTTTGGCTCAATTTGGCCCGGTTTGAAGGCAGCTCTTACTCAGCCCTGTCCTACTGGCCCTCACTGAGAGCGATGATGTAGACTTTGTGGACTCTCCAGTTTGGGAAAGATAATGGAATATAATGTGCTAATCCTCAGATCTGGGGACCAGTTGACAGCTAATCCAGGGGAATGTGGTGGGATTGGAGCCCTGGCCAGACTCCCAGAACTGGAGGCCTCTGACTAGCTGGATCGCTGGTTGGCTTCACCCCTGGATGGTGAATCTGCTATCATAGCCACGCGTAAAAAACTCATATGCAGGCCCATTTGTGTGCGTATCACACACCCACACTCGTATGCAAATGAATACTGACTCTCAAAAAGACAGCGAGATGATACTGTATCATAAAGAGCTGGAACAGCCTGAAGTCTTGTACCTCTGTAAAGTAATTTAAGTGGTCTCTCTTGTCGTCTTAATTGTTGGAGTTGTGTTTCTGTCCTTCCTCTTCACAATCCCTTTTAATCATGTTTATTTCCTAAAAGAGATCTGCACATCTTATAGTCCTCTTTTCTGCTGGAATTTGGATGTTCCTCAAAAGAGCACTTTGTTGAGGAATCGTGTTTGATTATAAGAACATGGCACATCTTTAGTAACTCAATATGAATGATTAAAAGACTGGAGCTTTGTGATGAAGAAAGCATACATATTGACGAGCGTGCAGGCACACACACACACACACACACACACACACACGCACACGCACACACATTCTTGCTCACATTAAAGAGAGCAGAAGAATGAGTCTCTGTCTTCTCTGTCTCTGACACACACACACACGCTCACACACACACACGCACACCCTTGCAATCACAGACAAACAGTCTTTCAGGAAGTGATACACTCAGCCTTGTTGTTGCAGACATTTTGCTTTTCCCCAGCCAGAGGTCACAACCCTGAACATCTGCGATTCATGCCAATCCGGGTGCACTGCCTGCGGAGTGTCACAGATTTAGTGCCACAAGTGCGTCATTCACATCGCAGTGCTTCACTGACTCCACTCGGCTCTCGGCTCACTGACGAGAACTGTCATGATGATGGTTGAGACGGAGGAGTCAAATATGGGCATCTGACATTTCCTTTAGGAAGTCGCACCTCATCCAAAAATAGACCACATTCACAAAATCAGTATGAATGCATTTGGGAATTGAAACATTCTCTGGTTGCAGCCTCTTAAATGTGAGAATTTTCTGCTTTTCTATTTTTTACCTATTTGTTAATTGAATATTTTGGGGGATTTGGACTCAATTGGGCTGCAACTAATGATTCTATTCATTATAGATTCATAGTTTTGTCCACAAAATATCAGAAAATAGTTCAATATGCCTATCACAGTATCCCTGAGACCAAGCTGACATCTACAAATGTCTTGTTTTGTGTGACTAGTACTCCAAAACCAAATGATATTCAGTTTACTGTCATATAAGACAACAAAAGGCATCAAATATGTGGCATTTGAGAAGCAGGAACAAGCAGTCATTTGGCACTTTTACTTCTAACTAATAAATCGATTATCAAAACAGTTGCCAATTAAATTTCTGTTCATCCGCAAACCAGAAACTTGAATAATTGTTTGAGCTCTAAATCAATTAATCTACATAAAAATATAATGAAAAGAAATGTTGCGGCCCTAATCTGATCTGTTCCCAGCATGCAGTGCACAGGCTGTGGATAGATGGAGGTGCACTGTTGGCTGTTGCCTGGGGATTCTTTGAGAGGGTTAAACATTTGTTAGGCTGGACCACAGTAACAGGTGGCACAAGGGGAGGAGCTGCACTCAGTAAACAACCGTTGATGGCCAAGCCTTTGTCTGGACTCTGTGTGTGATTTCGTGTGTGTTTTCCATCTCCACAACTCCCTGTGTTGCCATACCAGGTGCTCACTCGCCTAATTTAATGCCACACGTCTGCTGAAACCCTTCCTTCCCTTTCATAGCCGTCTTTGTCTCTGTCCTTTTTTTTTTTTTTCTTTTTGCAAAGACAGAATTTACTCATCCTGCACCGTTTTTCCTGCTTCAATTCCTCTCAGGTCTTTTTCCCCCCCCCCCCCCAACATCCTCCACCTCCCCCTGACGCTCTTTCTTTCCTTTCC